CAAGTGCTTTGGAGATGAAGAAGGATGCACTACAGACCAGCTCTGCAGTTAAGCCACTTTAAAGGAGGTTTCAAGAATGATTCTCCAGGACCTCACACTTCAGGAATGATTCAAAGGCCCTGAGTTCTCAGCTGACAAGGGAGTAGGATGTGATTTATGTATGTGGGAGATAAAGAGAGGGCATACCAAATGTTGAAATACATAGCACTCTGCAGAGACCCCCCAAACAGCTCTGGAACTACCACAAATCCCTAGAGTTCAATAGGAACCAAGTGAACTAGAGGCAAAATACTGCCCATGACTTCACAGCATCCATGCAACCTCCACAGTGTAATTAGGGAAACAGGATAGTTCATAGATGCCTTTAATGCCAAGGCTACACAGAATTCTTATGCCAACTGAAACAAGTACCTACCTTGGCTTTGTGGAACATACGGAGCCAGAAGCTTTGCTCTCTTCTTCTCATACCCCTTTTGTGTGATGTCCCCTAAAACCAAGGAAAGAAAACTCATTTAGCCACGTCTTCATTTTCCAGGTTGAGGTCTGTCTGCTTTTCTTTGCCTAAATACAGCAATGCATATGCTAAGAAAACCTGAAACCAAATAAATGCGAGTACATTATGATTTCAAAGCCTCCGTGCTCCAGAATGCTGTACTTTCCCTTGGGATCAGGGATACACACTATTTAAATGCAACAATTTGAATCAGAACAGCTATCTAAATGGAATATCAAAGCAACGAAATCCTAAAAAGGGAAGCTGAAAGTGCATGAAAATATTCTGTAACCACAAAGCCAACTTATGCTAACAAAATGGAGTCATTCCCAAACAAGAAAGCGAAGGGGAAGTGCAAATCCAGAGCCTCGTCTTAAACTAATCAAACTGAGACCAGCTTTTAGCAAATCAAGTGAGCCCACTGCCTGTTTAGGGCACGTCTGAAAACCAAGGCAAGGATGAACAGAGTCAACTTCTAGACTACTGCACACCAGCACAACCAGTGACCCAGAACATCACACTTTGAATCCTGTTTGATATTCAGTGAATATTAAAGAGGGCTGTAGTTTTATTCATCTGGTAGGAGCTGTAATTCCACTGTTTGCCTGCTGGTAGAAGCATGCAACAGACACATGCTCCATAGAAGCAAAAACTCCAGAAGAAGAAAATAAGTATTAGTAAACTTTTCCCTTTCTTACAGACCTAATCTGTCTGATCCTGGAGATGGACCATCTGCCTGTTGCCTTTTCTCACAGCACATCAGAACTACAAGAAAGACTGAAACCTGCAGGGATTAAAATAAAAAGCCCTGCAGCATTTCAAGCCTTTTTGCAGCCTGACCTGCACTTGTAACCTCTTATCTCTCGGGGCCAAAAGATTGGAAGCGACCAAATACACATATCATACAGGAATTATCTGGTATGATTTCTCAAGCTAAAATTAAGCCAACATCTGTATTACAACAAGAAACTACTGATCACAAACAGCATGTTTGCTTTGCTACAAGCCTGATTATTGCAAGGCAAAGGAGTATTAGACACTGAGCAGCAGAGCCCACTGTATCTGCTGCTGCCTTAAAGCATCCTTCTGCCAGACACATCCAGCCTGATCTGGAGGGCCACATCAGGAAAGGTGATTAAAGGGTTTAGGCTCTAAGCCTCTGAACAAACCCAGTGTGTCTGCTAAAACATTCCAGCTAACTGGCCCTTTTGGTTATAAAGGTGCTTTTGCAGTACTGAGATGCTTGGAAAGGGAATGGAATTCAGCCCTTCATGCTGGACAGTCACTTGTGAGTGTCGCTTAACTGCCAACTAAGAGTTTGAAAGCTGAAATGGACGGGTACCTGCGCTGCTCAGTGGAGGGAGGGCATCTGCACCCAACATTTTATCTCACTCCTTTAACACTACGTTTGAGTCAGGCCCCAACAAGTCCAAAAAAATCCAGCAGCTGAAAATGAGAATGCCCATGAAGCACTGAAACGCCAACCAGAGCGTTAATTTAATGCTTGATTGCAATCCATCGCTCAGTTATATTCATCCAGCTCAGGAGAAAGGTATGCTGCCAGTGGGGCAAAAAGTACACCTTCAACACAAGAGCGACACAAAGACTCCCTGGCACAAGGATAACATTTTTAGCTACCAAATCCACCCGCTTTTCTTGAGATTTGCCTCTCCATCTTCAGAGGCAGTTTTAATTCCCCACGTTTGGTCCTCTGGGTGGCAGACAGGGCGACTGCCACTTCAGGGACACCCAAGCTGTGCAGGCACTGGGAGGGATGTGACCTTGTGAGGCAACCCACAGGTTTGTTTGCAGCTTGTTATTTGGTGATTAATTGCTCCACAACATTTAATGGGACTCTTGACATTGGTGGTTACACACTACATGTAAGAAAACATTTGCCACAAAGTTTTGGAATTACTAAGGAATACCAGGACATGACAAACAAATACCAGTGTTTTCATTGTAAGCACTATAGCATCATATTGGGAATATTGGGAACATACTAGGAAGCAAAGAATTCTCTCTAATCATTTGTTCCACACTAATATCCTACTAATCCAAACCCATCCTCAAAGGAGTGCAGGCATTCTGGTTCACAGGTTGGCATTTGGGAATGTAAAGGTGAGGTGAGAGACTACCGAGAACCAAAAAGGTAACACAGGAGGCTCTCACTAAAAAAGCTTGTGTGTAGATATGGGCCTCAGGTCTCTCAAATGAGGATCTGGTTACTAGAACCACAAGAGTTACACCCAGAAGGACATCTCCAGTCTCGGAAGTGAGTGCCCCTTTAATACGCTGCATGAGTGGAATGAATTTCTTATGTAAAGCCTTTTCTTTCTGGTCATACATAGGCCAAATTTGGTATCAATTCCACTGACATACAAAGCAAAGAATCACTAAGGGAGAGATTTTCTCTCTCCCTATCCCTTCTCTGCTTATCTCCAGGAAATGGAAATGCCTAGATCCGAGCATAAATGTGGACTTCCTCACCAAGCACCATAAATTACAGCGACAGGAAGAGCACCAAGACAATAGGACTGGCAATCTCAAGAACCATTCACTCCTACTACATAAACGTGGTAAATCCTCAACCCCGCTTCCATAAATTAATGCTTTGTGATATTTGGTGTGCTAAATTCTTCCAGGTACCTGAAACAGCCACCCAAGAACCACGACTCCTCTCCGCACAGGTACAAGGCGCGGTGTTACAACGAAAGTATTAGCAAAGCAAATGAGAGCTGACACTAGAGCTTTAAAAGGGTGCTTTTGTTTGTTCATTCCTAGGAAAGAAATGATAAACACAAACACTGCTGAGACGTTTCTCTGGCCCTTTGCCAGCTACAACTGTTTCTGTTCCCTTGTAGTCTATCTCCATACCCTAAGCTAGTCACGGTTGTGCCTCCCCATGCAGAGCAGCCCCGCTAAGGAAGTGGGATTCACCTCAGAAGCAAGCAAAGCTTCAGCTTCATTTCAGTCAAGACCCTTCTGCCACGATGATTTTTCCTCCTATCTCCAAATGTGCTGTCAGGGATCCCCAGGGGTTGTACTTTTAAAGCACACATGAGTGAGCCGAGCTGCAGCAGAGGAACAGCCTCTCCTTTCCTCCAGCTCTGCTGCAGTGACAGCGACCATCAGCTCAGGTGCAGACACATCTTCAACTTCCACAGACAACCAGTGCATCGGTTCTACACGTACCATCTGCCTCGCTCTGTTACCTACTCATAGGTACCATAGTTCTTCCATCCCACATGCAAAGCTCCACTGCCAAAAGAGGTTAACTCACCCCAGCACATGAGAAACGTTCTCCTGCAGAACCACCAGCTGGTTTCCTGCTCATTGCAGAGCACAGGATGGACCAGGTCCACAGAACATGCTCTGGCACCAGCACTACATTGCTTCAGTAGTTGCTCACCTCAGGGTCTATCACCATACCATTCCCCTCCCCTTTTAACCCTCTCCCCCCTATTTCATCTTTTCTCTCAACAGTTTGAAAAGAAGAATTTCAAGACATCCTGCTTCTCAAGGCTTGCAAATAGACAAGTGTGGATCCAGGGTAGGAAATGACTCTAGATGGATGGTTTGCAGAAACAAGGCTATTTCAACTGGGGAGCAATTCTTCCTCCCTTGGAAAGCCCTCACAACAACCCTGACTGCGGACACCTCTGATGAAATCCAGGAGGATTGTGAGTGAACATGTGTACATTTGAGAAACAGAATTCCCTAGGAAAAAAATGCAAAAGGTGGATTTTGAGATTCCTTTTTCACAGGATTCTACTAATTCCTGGAGAGGAAATGAGAGTTGATCCTCACTACGCAAATCCCATCTGGATGTTCTGACCATGGGGAGTGCAAGAGGAAAGATGAACTCGGTGGTGACAAGAAACAGAGGGGAATGGGCTCACCCTGGGCAGAAGGAAGCCTGGGGAGCTACAGCTATCAGCCTGGATGTCCCACCTATAGGCAAATCAGGCCAGAGAGGAGCTGAAAGCTCAGGATCTCACTGCCCTGTGACGCCAGGCTGCTTTTCAGCAATTAGAGTTGATGATCTCTTCTAACCAGTGGTGCTCAATCAGTGCAAGGTGGTAACACCAGCTAATCCTGCTACGCTCAGACAATACTCCTCTTTCAACATCCTCGCTCCCCTTCCCCCCCTGGAATGAGAACACTGAATCATTTACTGTCTAACAAAACCATAATTACTACAGTGGAGAAATTAAGGAAAATGATCACGTAGTGCACAGCATCTCGCCAACAAAGCCTCCAAACACCTCCCTGCATCAAGCAAAAGAGTCAAATTTGAAAGCAGTTTGTATTGCATTTGGTAAAAAAATGGATGCTTAAAAGAAGAAACAAAAAGCTGATGGTTCTAGAAGTTTATGCTGACAGACAATGGTGGAAATGGTTCTGGGACATCCATTAGCCCCCCAAAACAGGTAACTTCTCTATTTAACAGCAGTAAGATTATAACAAAGAGAAGGAAATAAACTCTATTATCACCACTGCATCTGCTTTTCAAGTCTCACCCCTATAAACGATCATAATGACTTGGCCTTTCTTGCCCACCTCAAGGCACATGACAGGCAACATCTCCCTGTACTTTTATCACCCCAAACTTCTCCTGAAAGAATACAACACAAACCCTGGTTTTGCAGGGGCTGGGTTTGGATTTCCTGTCCTTGACCAGAAGCGGACACCAAGCTGTCGATAATGAAACCCACAAGTGTAACTGGAAGTCCCCAAAGTTCTTTCCTTGCGTGCCACTTCCAGATAAGGTCTTTGAGTGCGACTGAAGTGTTAGGTGGCATGTTTGAGAAGTCTGAGATGGGGAAGGAATGCACTTCAACGCTTAGGACTGTCTCAGTTATGGCCTGAGCAGAAAATAGGTATCAAACCAATCAGCGCAGCACATAGTTAAGAAACGCTGTTGCCACTAATTTATGTATTTGCAGCTATATACCACCTTTCTTCCATTTCTTGGAGGGTTGGCACCTTCC